TTAATATTTACAGATTGTTTCATTAAATATGTTAAATATTTCTTGAGTACAAATGGATCTCACAAATACATTTTTTTATTTCTATTGTCATCTAACAAACGAGTTAATAATTTTATCAACAAGAAACGGGTCTCTGTCTAGGAATGATTCAAAAACGAATTGGTAAAATATATCTAAAAATAATTTTTATTTAAAAAAAATCAATTTTAACCAATATGAAATTATTAAAAATTAATTATCTTATTTCAGTTTTTATAAATCAATACTTTAGATTACCGAATAGAACTCATAATTTTATCGGATCCCTATAATTTGTTATTTAACTAAAACGAATACAAAAAATAAATCCTACACCACACATTAAATTGTAGTAATTTTATTTAATCTATATATGTCGGACCAAACCAAATTATTAACGGCAATTGATCTGAACCCGGATACTCATGCCTATACATACTTGTGAATAATCGAACAAGGGCATAAATTTAAAGTAAAAACGGTTGACGCGCCCTCTTTAAGGGCGGGTCAAAATCTAGTTAAAGATTATTATATACATGAAAATTTTAAGAAATTTTATTAATCACTTTGTTAAAAAATGTAGAACAATATATCTGATCGGAGTGGATCAGTTAACAACTAAAATAAAAATCTATCTTTGTCATGCCAATATAAACGAAACACGCTTAAAGCAATCAGGGTCATGCCTGCGAATTTTAAACCCTGAAGCAAGAACTTGCGTGTAAAGTGAAAAAGGCTCTATATCAACATTAATATAAGAGCAGTGTCTTGTATATCTTATCGAGGAGCAAGAACCACACATATATATATATATATATATATATATGTATGTTATTATATAAAAATTTAGCGTATGATTTAGCAACGGTTATGTATCCCACCAGAAGCTGAAGCAGCTCTCCTAGCTTCTTCTACAAGAGCCGCACGTGCAGACGAGATTCCGGTAGGGACTAGATACGTATCAAACGTCGAACAGTCAATCCAATCCTTAAGAAGCTCTTCTTGCCCCCATGTCTCCGGTATCCAAACTCTTCCGGCGATCTCTCTCCGGTGCTTCTTTAGCTTCTCTCTTCCAGTGTCCATCCTCTCCTCTTCTTGATTCTGTTTTGGTTTCTCTTCGGGCAAAGTTTGATCTTGCTTGACGAAAACCGAAGAAGCTTCGTGGGGTAAAGTGGAATCTTGTTGGGTTTCGTCGGAAGGAGGTTGAGATGGACTGGTCGGGTGGGCCATTGTAGAGGTCGTATCTTCGATGTTCTTCATGGTTGCACAAAAGTATGGCAGATTCAGATTCTTGAAGGAAACAAAGAAAAGTTAGGAGAGATGTGGGGTTTGTTTTTGCTTGTTTTGATAATATGTATTTTTGCTGGCTTATGTAAAGGAGAGAATCGGGTGGGAGTAAGGGTTACACGTCGACTTAAGTTTATTGTTTGGTGAATTTCTACTTTTTCCGCTTTTGTTGTTTGTATGGTAAGTAACAACTTTACGTGTCCTTTTTGTAGATTGCCTTGCTTTGGCTCTTAATTTTTGGAATTTAAATAAACAAATAATCAATGTTCCAAAAAAGAATTAAATAAGCAGTGTTACAAAATAAGAAACAAATAATAAATAGAAAATTTTAATTTATTATTTATTTATTTTTATAAAAGTTAAGTTTTATCTTTTTTGCTAAGATTGGGATAAAAGTAAAACTAGATTAGTAGAAATAACTATTATGCAGTTTTTCCTCTTTAGTAATCTTTATTTTTTTTAGCAAGTGATCAAGTCTTCAGAAATGGGGTTAAGTGGTTTTCTAGAATAATGATACTGTATATCTTATTAGAGAGTGAATGAGAACAATAAATAAATTTAAATATTTGTGTAGGAAAATAGATGGATTATATAAAAGATCGATATTATTTTTATGGAAGTTTATATAGGAGATAGAATATATAGAGGACTATATTGTAAATAATATCGGCAATTATCGTATATGAATAATATCAAGCATTCCTTATATGGTATCAAAACTACGATACTAGAGACCTAAAATTTTTTTTTTCCGTAGCCGCCTTATAGCTCTTCTTTCTCACATCAACAATGTCGTTCTCCTCCACAAATACCATTGATTCCTTTGCTTCCAACTCTCTCCTCATCGTAAACATGATGAATGTGACAAAGTTGACTCCCACCAACTTTCTCATGTGGAATCATCAAGTTCACGCTTTACTTGACGGGTATGACCTAGCATGGTATCTCGATGGCTCCACCATCATTCCGGCTGCGACCATTACTACAAATGGTGTCGTTGCTGCAAATGCTGACTACAAATTCTAGAAGTGTTAGGATCAGCTGATCTATAACGCCCTCTTGGGGGCTATCTCCGTGTCTATTCAGCCCATCCTCTCGAAAACAACAACATCAGCTGAGATCTGGAGCACTCTAGCCTCCACATACGCTAAACCTTCACAAGGCCACGTGAAACAAATCAAACAACAACTCGATCATTGGAAAAATGGAACCAAAATCATAGACGAGTATGTTCAGGCTTTCACAACTCGCTTTGATCAACTTTCCTTTGCTCGGAAAGCCTATTGACCATGAAGATCAAATTGACTTCATCGTCGGAGGACTACCAGAAGAATACAATTCCATGGATGACCAGACTAGAGGCTCGCGATACAGCTCCATCGAGCACAGATATTCATGAGAAGTTGATAAATCATGAACTCAAGCTTCAGACCCAAACCACAGCGGCAGTGCTACTTATTACGGCCAATGCAGCTTATACAAATCAAGGCAGACAAAGTGGTAATTCAAACCGTGGAAACAATCGCTACCCTTCACGGAACAACCAGATGTGGCAACAACACCAATCATTATAATCCAGGCCAAACCAGCAACAAAGCAAGGGTCGTGGTTATCAAGGACGGTGACAGTACTGCAGAGTACATGGGCATAGTGCAAGAAGATGTCCTCAAATCCAGACTGGTGGCTGTTAACAGCAATCTGCGACCACACCATGGCAACCACGAGCTCACCTTGCTAATGTACCACCGTACAATGCTGCGAACTGGATCCTTGATAGCGGAGCCACACATCACTTGACATCAGACTTAGATAATTTGTTGCTTCACCAACCATACAAAGGAGGTGAAGAAGTTCAAGTTGCAGATGGTACTGGTCTTCAAATCTCTCATACCGGCTCTGGTTTACTTCCTACACCATCTAGCTCTCTTACTCTAAATGATCCCTAGATCAAAATCTCACTGTGTTTCTAGAAAAATCCTAACTTAATCAGGATGTGTTCAAGACTATTAAAATTATTCAAAGATATCTAAACAACATAATAATCCTAGATTCAGGTTTCTAGTTAGCAAGTCTAGAACATGAGCATTAAGAACATCATATTAATGAATACCACAATGAGCAATCCTATAGTTGGGGCTAATCCCTCTATCCTTGACTAGACGCATCGATCGATATTCTCATCAGAAATCAATCGATGTGGAGTACATTGTATATTTCTCTAGAATAAATGATCGACACTGGCCCTGATAGGAAATTCTTGTCTAGGTCAATAGCATTCTAGTCAATAGGCTTATTTATTAAATAAGACCTTAGTAAATTTGTTGTTAAGATAGTTAATGTTTTTTAATACCATGCAAACAACTAGATAGTACCTATAGGATTATAAAGCATTAAGTAACTTTTACCTGCAGATCCAGATACTTGTTTGAGATTCCTTGCATCCTACGATCGATACTCCCAAGGTAAAGCCTGCACTTTTATTTTATGTTAAGAAATGAGGTTAGTTGAGGGGAATTTCTAGATAATATTTGCTAAGCTAAGATCTGGCATAGTGAACTTCTGTGATTAGAATTTCTTAGATGTGGATTGCAATATTTAGAGGTTATGATTTCAAAGTTTTAAATCTATGAGTCCATGTTCTTTTCAAACATCTTTCAGAGAGACAACCTGTTTATTTTGCTTGAGGACAAGCAAAAAGGTAAGTATGGGAGAGTTTGATATACCTTGATTTTGATCCGTTTTTAGTCATGGTATGTTAGCAAAAAGGTAAGTATTACTATTTATTATATTATAGAAGCTTTTAAGCATATTTATAGGTGCATGTCGATCGACGTGAGTTCACTTGTTAGAATTAGGGTTTAAATAGGATAGAGGGATTAGCCCCAACTATAGGATTTCTTGTTTTTGGTATTCATTAATAGGATGTTCTTAACGCTCATGTTCTAAACTTGCTAACTAGAAACCTGAATCTAGGATTATTAGGTTGTTCAAATATCTTTGAATAATGCTAATAGTCTTGAACACATCATGATTAAGCTAGGATTTTTCTAGAAACACAGTGAGAGTTTGATCTAGGGATCCATAATGACTCTTTGTTAACTCGCGTGTAACGTTTGACTAGACGCATCGATCAATATTCTCATCAGAAATCGATCGATGTGGAGTAAAGTATATCGATTGATATTCCTCTAGAATAATCGATCGACACTGGTATTGATAGGACATCTTATCTAGGTCAATAACATTCTAGTCAATAGTCTTATTTATTAAATGAGAGTTTTGTAAATTTGTTGTTAAGATAGTTAATGCTCTTTGATACAAATCAAACAACTAGATAACACCTATAAGATTATAATCTCCAACGCCTGAATAAAAGCTCTAAGTCTAACACCTTTCCATTTTAGTTTCAAAACCCTCGTTCCATTCTTGTTAAGTAATTGTCTTGTGTAATTAGAATATTTTCTGTTTACTTGTCTACTGCATTTTACTATTTATATTCACCTAGATTATTGATTGACTAGATTTAATAGGTTCCATAGCTCATTGTGGATTCAATCCCTAAGTATTGCAATAGATCTCTTATTTGAGAGAGTAAGTTGCTCTATTAGATAAATATTTGAGTAAACATCAAATTAGGCGACGTTGCCGGGGAGCTTTGATAGCCTTTAGATTTCGTCTAATAATTCTAGGTTTTTCTTTGTTTTCTTTTATCATCTTCTGATAATATTTTTCTTGATATTTCAGATGCATGCATAGCATAACCAGAAGAAACAAGGAAAAACAGCTCTTATTTTCAGAAGATTCTGCAATCTTGTAACGTTCGATCCGTAAAAACCTACATTCCGTATCGATCGACGCTAATATCTCTTCGTTAATCGATTCTCGTCAGATCCCAACCGACCTCGCTTCATCATCGATCGACACAGACTACTCTTCGTCAACCGATTCTGATCACTTGACATCGATCGACACCGCTCATCGTACATCGATCGACACTCAGCCGCGAGATAAGGTTGCGCCTTTGATACTAACCGCGAACGAGAATGGAGACCTGTATGAACAGGAAGGTCATCTGCGTAATGCAACAGGTCAGAAACGGATACTAAGGGGAATGTAATCCATGAACCTGATACTGAGGAGGCCACTCGACCCAAGACCTTGACAGACTACAATCGTCCATACCAGTACTACGCCACGAGGTCAGCTATTCGTCTCTCAGACGTTCAGAGGGAGAATTTCGAGTTGAAATCGCAGTATTACACACTCGTGGCAAAGATACCCTACTATGTGTTGCCACATGAGCATCCTATGAACCATCTTGAGAGGTTCGAGGATCTCATTGCTGCTATTAGAGTTAAAGGAGTCCCTGAGTACTATTTATTGTGTAAGCTCTTCAAGTTCTCTCTTGCTGAAGAAGCTGCACATTGGCTCAAGTAGCTACCACCGGGATCTCTTACTTCCTAGGCTAACATTAAGAATGCGTTTCTGCGCAATTTCTTTGATGAGGGACGATCTGAAGAACTAAGGAGCAGGATTGCTACCTTCACACATAAACCTGGAGAATCCTTCAAAGACTCTTGGATCAGATTTAAGTTTTTCCATCGCGACTGCTCACACCGTGGATTTAATGAAGTGCAGCTGCTCAGCACTTTCTTTAAAAGACTCGCTTTGAAATCTCAGATAGCTCTAGATACACAAAATTAAATTTTCAATATAAAATAAAGTGTAAAATTATGCTAGGTTATTAATAATAAAAATAAACTAATAGTATCATGTCAATAAGTTTTTTTACATTATCATTTTTTGGAATGTCATTAATAAAAATTTCATCAAAATCTAAGGAATCCCGAGTTTATACAATACTAAAATTTATATGAATAATGCAACTAAAAAAATAAAAAATAAACTCTAGTTTTACATCATGTTTGATTTTTTTTTTTTTTTTAAGAAAAGCATCCCACGTTTTTTGAAACAAACAACTATGGGGATGATTGGTTGAACTGTAGCTGTAAAATATTTACTGTAGAAATTAGTCTGTAGAGTTTTCTGATTTAGCTGTAAGAGATGTAGCTTTAAAATTTATTTCTACAGCAACATATTTTCTACAGCAAAAAAGATGTGGCTTTAGAAAATAAAGATTTTACAGCCATTATTTTAGTTTTTGGTTGTATCTTTAAAAAATAAGATAAAGCATGATTGGTGATTTAAGTGTTGTAGATAAAAATTAAAGCTAAAGTCAGCACTTACAACCCAACCAATCACCCCCTATAATATATTTTGA